TTCCCAATATTTATGCTGAACCACTGTGACTGAATATGTATCACAGTTTGATACAGCAGATATAAACTGCTTTTGTTTGCCAATAAGAAACTGCAGCGCTACTATGCACTAAAGCTGTATAATGGAAGTAGTCCCAAAATGGCAGACTGTTTAATGTGAAAACACTCCTGTACAGATGATCAGTAAGCTGGATAATGTTGTAATCATACAGGGATATTAATAAGCAGATAATATAATCTAATTTTAATCAAATAACATCATGAAAAGATCGATATCCTCAGGGGCTCCAGTGGATGTCTGACCTATAGAGCATCCACCCTGGCTGTGTCCGCATGGAGCTCACAGTGGAGCACTGCAGCAAAGAATGTACATCATTTTAGTCTTTTGTAAATAGTGTTTCTGGAAGCTGGTGTGATAACTGCTTAGTGGATACAAAATTATATATATATATATATATATATATATATATATATATATATATATATATATATATATATATATATATAATTCTTCTTTTTTTTCATTTGATGACAAATGAAACAGAAGTGGTTTTGGCCACATTGAGTTGCAAGTTTCTCAGCAGTTAACATTTTGACATACACTCACTTGCAAGTTTATTACAGCTAGCTCAAACTAATGCAGTCTAACACAACAGCTCTGCAATAACCCGACCTTTGTATTGGTTAAAAGGTTCAGAGTTTGCTGTAACTGTTTTATAGAGGCGCTGATTCAGATCATTGTGGAAGCTGTAGTTTGTGGTGCTGTTGAACTGTATTCCATTATACTCAGAGCTGTTTCTTTGAAATAAATGTCTCCTGGCAGTCTCTCATGTCTTATTTTGAATATATTTTATTAAAAATACAAGTCTTTCCAACAGTCTCTAAACAGAATCCAGTCTCCATCCAGCAAAACAGGACGCTGAGACAACCCAAGAGCTTATCTTTCTCACAAGAATGAGTGAACCTCCTCACATGCTTGGAGTAGGCAAAAGGCCAGGGTCAGTTAACCATGACAATGCAGAAACATTTACATTTTATACCTAAAAGTAATTTGACACAACAATCATACCACAGCTTGTGATCATCAGTCATGCTGTCTTGTTGAAATAACATACTATTGTCATTATATATATATTTGTATGGAACTGAAAGGAGGAACTGTCACATGATGATGCATTCTCACCATGACCCATTTCCTCCATTTGGTGGTAACAGACAGCAGTATTACACAGAAAGAGTCAGTTCACTTTTTTTCCCTATGTTGACTGAAAACAGCCGAGTACACTTAACATCTTATCAGCATATTTCTGATGAGGACACCAGAATGTCTGCATATTTAAGATAAGATTTTCTCTTCGAGCTCGTCGCCGTCGGACTTCGTCAGTGTTATCTGCCACGGGAACTTTCCAGTGTTGTCGCCATCACTGTCTATATTCCTCACAGTGGTCTTCATCATCACCATCACTGCCATTTATGATGTCCTATTTATTCTCCTGTACAGCACTTTGGTCAACTTTGGTTGTTTTTAAAGTGCTAAACAAATAAAGTTGGATTGGATTGGATTGGAACACAAATTTGTAATTCAGAACATTCATGTGCAGAGCTGTTACAATAGGAACAACGTTCTAGATGGGGAAACAAAAGTGAAAGAAAAGAAGACCTGTTTTGTTTTTTTTTAAACTAGGGGATTACCGTTAGGCCTCACCCATAAAGTTTCCGCTATATGCTCTTTCAGAATAAAAGCTGAGAAATGTTTTTTTTAAGAACATCACAACATTGACAATTTATTTCTTTTATTTAACTTTAAACGCACAAATCATATAAATACTCATCTGACCTGTACTTTATCATCACTTATTGTCATTTAATCCGTAGCTGTATTGCTGTCCTGAATATAAGTGAAAAATGAATTTAAACACCCTGAAAGATGGATTTATCCATAACTGAGAATGTAAATGAATATTAATATGTAAATACTCTGTACAACTGGAGTTGGGACATATCAACTCATGCTTTATGCTTTTTATAGAATGAAGTTTGAGTTTTAATATTTCTTACTTACTGCATGCCCTTACATTATGCAGATACATATCAGCTAATGACTTTGTATTTTGTGTTATTCAGATATATAACACTGCCAAAGCACTTTTACTTTACTGTGAAATATGTAATTAATTAGTTCCAATACAACCAAAATACTACTCAAGTGTTACCTGCAAATGTGAGATAGAATACTTACACTGTTTATTTTTCCACAGTATGTCATTTAAGCAGTCATACATTCTCTGTTTGATAGAATATAAAGTATAAGGCTGCTGTTCCTACCTTCCCTACCCATTAAAGAACTAATAATATTTCCTGAAACAGGGGCACCCTGGGGGTATTGGGGTTAATTCACATGTGGTGATCTAGTCAGTATTTTTGGCAGCAGGACGGTGTGTGTGAGACTGAGTCAAAATAACCTACAGTGTGTGTGTGTTCATGGTAATGAGGGAACATGGCATCCAGTGCAACAGTGTGACTCACTGTTGGACAGCAATGGAGCTGAATGGGACAGAGGAAGAGGATATAAGGCTCACTGGAGATGAATTGCATTTGGTTGTTAAAGTGGTTGCAATCAGGACCCCATTCTGAGCGAAGATATCTTTTTAATAACATGATACAAATGATTAGAACTGGAAAAGTCTTTGGGGATTAGATCCCATCTGCTTCTTCTATAATAAAATTATTACTATTAGAGAAAATATTTATCACCAACTGCCATCAACAGTTATCAGTGGATCTCCAAGTTCAGGGACTTCTGTCAATGTAAACTTAGATATATATTTAGACTGTTTTTCTGCTATCGATCTTCATCAGTTAACTTCAATCATTTCTTCATTGAAGCCATCAACCTGTCTATTAGACCCGATCCCAACTAGGCTGCTTAAAGAAGTTGTTCCCTTAATTGGCACTTCTTTACTGGATATGATTAATCTTTCTTTATTATCAGGATATGTTCACAGTCCTTTAAAGTAGCTGTAATTAAACCCCTTCTTAAAAAGTCCACTCTTGACCCAGGGGTTTTAGCCAACTATAGACCGATCTCTAACCTCCCCTTCCTCTCTAAGATTCTGGAGAAAGTAGTCGCCAAAGAGTTGTGTGACTTTCTACATAACAATAGTTTATTTGAGACATTTCCTGACACTGTCAGGAATCTTGGAGTTATCTTTGATCAGGATTTGTCATTTAACTCCCACATAAAGCAGACCTCTAGGACTGCCTTCTTTCATTTACGTAATATTAGAAAAATTAGACACATCCTATCACAGACAGATGCAGAAAAACTAATCCATGCATTTGTTACTTCAAGGCTGGATTACTGCAACTCTTTATTATCAGGTTGCCCCAATAAGTCCATTAAAACGCTTCAATTAATTCAGAACACTGCAGCACGAGTACTGACAGGAACTAGAAAAAGAGATCACATCTCTCCTGTACTAGCTTCTCTGCATTGGCTCCCTGTAAAATGTAGAATAGAATTTAAAATCCTCCTCCTCACCTATAAAGCTCTTCATGGTCAGGCCCCTTCATATCTTAAAGAGCTCATAGTACCCTATTGCCCTATTCTCTGAATGCTGGGCTACTTGTGGTTCCTATAGTCTCTAAAAGTAGAACAGGAGCCAGAGCCTTCAGTTACCAAGCTCCTCTCCTGTGGAACCAGCTTCCAGTTGTGGTTCGGGAGGCAGACACCCTCACCACATTTAAGAGTAGGCTTAAGACATTCCTCTTTGATAAAGCTTATAGTTAGGGCTGGATCAGGTGAGTCCTGAACCATCCCTTAGTTATGCTGCTATAGGCCTAGACTATCGGGGGATTTCCCATGGTGCACTGAGCTCCTCCCTTCCTCTCTCTTTCTGCACTCATTCATGTCCCATTAATGCATGTTACTAACTTCACTTCTTCCCTGGAGTCCTTGTGCTTTCCCGTCTTGCAGGTTCTTGTCGATCCTGGTGGAGCCTCCTGCCATGGTCCTGCTAGATTGCCATTGCCAATACTGTTGTTGCTGTGCACCTGTCTGTCTGTCTCTCTCTCGCTCTCTCTCTCTCTGCCTCTCTCTCTCTCTCACCCCAACTGGTCGAGACAGACGACCAGCCACCTAGAGCCGAAGGATCTGTCCCTAGGTTTCTGCCTTTTAACAGGCAGTTTTTCCTTGCCCTTGTCGCCAAGTGCTTGCTCATGGTGGTACTGTTGGGTCTCTGTAATTAATGTTTTAAAGAGTTCGGTCTAGACCTGCTCTATTTGAAAAGTGTCCTGAGATAACTTCTGTTATGAATTGGCGCTATACAAATAAAATTGAATTGAATTGAATTGAATCTGATGGGTTTCACATATTTGTATGAAGAGGAGGTGAGAGAGGTGGAGGAGAGTCGCTGTGGTTTGCACTGACAGAATGACAGAACTACAAACAGGGAGGAGAACAGATTTAATGTTTAATGGTGATGTGCTTGGCTGATGGGAAATTGAAAAGGTTTAATCTGACTAAAGAGTAACTGACCATAGTCAGCTGATGAAGAGAGAGCGGGGAAATAGAGAGGAGATTTTTATGAACAAAATATCTTCCTGATTGAACTTCCGCTGGTGAAGTAATTTTGCAAGTTAACTCAGATAAGAACATAATTTAGTTTTAACTTTTGATTAAGCAGATCATACCTCATCTTCTATAGCACGGCTGTCTGTTGATCACCTGACAGTGCAGTGCATTTCACTGTTAATGGTTGTTTTAAAGCTTCTTAAGCTGCACAGGAGGAGGAGTAAATGATTTCAGTTGGAATAAATCAACAGCACTATTAGGGACTTTTACGTACAATATTTTAATTTCATCATCATTTTAAAGCTACTTTAGAACTTAAACGGTTAACCTATTTTATTTATACGTATAACATTTAAGTTGCAATTTCATGTTCCCTTGCCTAACATTAGTTCCTACCTGCCATTGTTTGTGAGGGACAGTTATGATTGTAACAGCAACAGACACCTGCAGTTGACATTGATGTCTTGTCGCCACGTTGGGGTCGACTGAAGAAGATTGAAGAAGATTGAAGGAGAATGAAGGAGACTGAAGGAGATTGAAGGAGAGAATTTGTAGCCCACTTGTTACCACAAACCAGAAGGATAGGAGAACTCGACCATTAAGAATAGTGACAGTGTATGCTTTCATTATTCAGATGATTCCTGCCTTAGGCTACTACAGTTTAAATACCAGCAATACGGTGATGATACAGTACAGGAGGAGTTTCTACAGATTATGATCAACTGGACAGTGTCTGAAGTTCCACATTGGACAATATGGTTGATTTCGAGGAACTGTTTTTACCTTTGTGACACTGCTACAGAGTTAATGGTGTGTAAGGGTAAAGTACAGACCTGGGGGAGGAAGACGCTTTTATTTTGACATTTACCCGGATGTAGGATTTCTGAACAACAACTTCAGCGGTATATAACGTTATGTCTCGCTGCGATCCGGTGAGTAGTTTTTAGTATTTTTATGCTATATTTTCTTTAAAGATGGTTACACAATTTACTGTGTGTGTGTGTGTGTGTGTGTGTGTGTGTGTTTGCGCGCATTATATGTCTGAGACAGTCTTCCTGTATATCGTATACGGAAGTCCTACGTACTTAATAAATAAAGTCTAAATCTAATTCTAATCCAGTTAGTTTTTTTCTTTTTGGCTTTCTGATTCCTTCACAGTCCTTTCAATGTTCAGTTTCATTTCATGTTTGAATTGGTTAATATTTAACTTTTATTTAACCAGAAGTCCCTTGAGATTGGGAACTCAGTGAATATTGAGTTTCCTTTTAGATATTTAGAATATAAATATATCAGAATTATTTTCTCATAATGAAGAATAACATTTGCATAATGTTTTCTTTCAGTTTACAGATGGTGTCCTCCTGTTGGATTTTACTCTCAGTGAGACGATGTCTTCAGTCCATGAAAACTGTGATCCAGCAGTATAAAATAATGTTTGGAAGAAAACCTTTGACAGCTGCACCATTGCTGGTAAAATCATTTGTTATTACAGTCAGCTTTTATTTGCTTTGCAGCAATTCATACATCAGATTGCTCTTCATCAGAGTCTTCATCAGCTCTACTGAGGGATGAGCAGCTGTCCTGCCTTTAACCTCTGTAGGAGAAGAGAGTAGATGAGCTAAAGGTTCAGATGGAGCAGTTTTCACATATAGAAAGAGAGTGCCTTTTCAGTGGTAGGATGTTGGGGGTTTGAGAAATACAAAAATAAAGTAGTTTTGGATTTTTGGGAAAAAACACTCCACATATAGGAAACATTAGTGTACCTACATCATAACACAGACTCGCCACCCAGAGGTGGGGCTGCATCACAGGAATGTGTGAATGTGTATTTTATCCACATTCTGCACAGTGACTTTATTCTTATGGCTCCAGTGACACAAATGTGACCTCATTATCATGTGACTTCCTGCTATAACTCACCTGCAAAGGTTAAACTAAAATCTCTTTCTTACTCTTCACAGATTCTTGTGATGAATATCTTCAGAGGACATGCACTACCATGTCATCCATCAGAGTATCAGAGAGGGAATGAATGCTGTCCTAAGTGTCTTCCTGGTAAGATCCAGTTGAATATTGAAGGATATTTCACTTTGGTAGTTCCATATGGAGTCTCTAGTTCTACTGCCAGGTGCAGACACTGTGTGCAGATCAGTGGAGTCAGTCTGACTCCCATGGTTGGTGCTGTTTATGTTCACCAGTGAAATGTATCTGTGAAGGACTCTGACTGGAGTTTTATTCCAACAGTAAAACAACAAGCTGTCATTTATATATTGTTTTAAATGTATTTTTTTAAACTTGAGCTTCATCTGGTGGTTGAAAGAAGAATGACACTGTAGTAGACAGCAGTGTATGTCACTTTGCCAAGCTCACAACATGCACTTTACTCTCAAGATGATACATTTTCATTTTAATAGAAACATTGAAATTGAATAGTTTTTCTCTCCAACAGGAAGTCGAGTTAAAACAGATTGCACAGAGTTCAGGAGTACTTCCTGTCTGTCCTGCACTGAGGGAACCTTCATGAATCAGCCTACAGGACGGACACAATGTTTCTCCTGTACAATCTGTGATACAGGTAGAGTTCTGTTCATATTTCCTGGTTATTAGTAGAAACTTGTGACTAAGATTTAAAGGCAGTAAGTAGGCTTATTACTGCAAGTCCCACTGTTAATGCTGTGGAAGAACTGACCACACTGTTGAAGATTGGTTGTCAGTGTGAAGATGCAGAGACTCATTTTGATGAGTTGCTGCACATTACTGCTTTTGTATTGATGGAAATAACAGACTACATGCAGAAACAAAGACCTCATGTGTTCTGAAATATTGTGAGTGTCCTAACAGGCTCTTTTCACACAAGTAAGACACAACACATTCAACATGAAGACAAGCTGTATTTTTGTAGTGAAGGTACAGTTTTTATTAATGAACTGATTTTAGATAATAAAATTGATTCCATGTTTTAAATTGAAACATGGCTTAATACGGATGGACCAGCAACATCCAGGAAAGGTAAAAATGGTGAAGGCACAGCAACCATCCTCTCAGCATCACTTGGTAAAGACATTTGATGAATACACATCTTTTGAATATCACACTTCCTATAGTGTGTGTGTGTGTGTGTGTGTGTGTGTGTGTGTGATAGTCTACAGGCCACCCAAACAATGCTCTTCTTTATTTTCAGATTTTTCAAAAGTACTGTCAACAGAACTATTATTTTAGGTGATTATAACTTTCAAATGGACAACCTACCCTTTTTCTTTGTAATTTGTAAATCTACTGAAATGTATTAATTGTATCCAACAAGTTACTGTCACTACCCATAACAGGCCACACATTAGACCTTGTAATAACCCACGGCCTGTCTGCCAGTATCTCTTCAGTTGTGGATGTGGGAATCTCTGATCAGTTCTGTGTCTTTTTTTTTACTGTCAATGATTTTATACATCACAATATTCCAGAGCAAACTGTTAGGAAGCACTATCTCACTGCTGAAGTGGCTGCAGCCATAAATGATCTTTTACATGTCACTCCAGTAGAAATTTTACCCTCCTCTTGTGATTTTTTCTTTTTTCTCTAACACCTTTGTTTATTGGGATTTTACATAAACATACTTATGAGGATGTTTAATTACACATTAATCTTGTACATTTATTTTCTCCAGCATAAGAAAACAAAGCACATCCCTAATCCAATGTACATGTGATGGAGGTTCAGGAGATTTAGGACCACATATGAAAGTGGCCTGGATCGGATTTGAAAAAATCGGATTTGTGCTGTTCAGACTGTCTGAAAATCAGATATGAGTCACATATAGGCAAAAAAAGATTTGGGACACTTTTGCCTGCAGTCTGGACATAGCCTAAGTCATCCACAGAGTCATAGTCCAGGTCAGAACCAGCTGCAAATCACCTGTGGCTGTGTTCAGTGACCAGGACTCACCTGTCACTGGGAGGCTCACTTGATCACTTCCCCAACTCTGACAATGATGCTTATTCCAGCCCTGCACCGATGCTAGTGGTGTAAACAAACCTCCCCTTCTACTTAGAGTTTGCAGTCTGGGTACAGTCCGCTAATAGGACCACTAACTAGCTAGTGGCAGCAGCTGGTACAGTTAGCACATGCAACAGTGCACTCCCTGTGTTATAAAAGAAAAGGTCCATGTTACAGCAACTGGAGAAACTGTTCTTTCACACTACCTAAAGATGTCATAAAAAATAAAGATGGTCTTTAAGTGCTCTCTAGTAAAAGTTCTCCATGTGTAACCTGTGTATGTGTTGACAGGTTCTGGTTTGAAGATAAAGACATCATGTACAACAACATCAGATACAGTTTGTGAACCACTGGAGGGATTCTACTGTTTGAACTCTGCAGAGGACGGCTGTATGTCAGCACAGAGACACACACTCTGTCGACCAGGACAATACATCAGTCAGAAAGGTGGGTTTACTTGTGCTGACTTTAAGATTGTAGGTATAGTTTAGGTTTAAATGAGAACGCCAAAATTCATAAGTGTATGAAGGTGTACAAGTGAATATAATGTATTTAAAAATATATTTTTGGGCTTGGATAGGACTAAACTCCAAACTCTATTAGCTGATTAGGGCCACAAGTTGCATCTGAAAGCTCCACAAAATTTCCACTAAGTAAACTTTGTACTGAGATTTTTTTAATCATTCTACTATTTCTAAAGTCAGTAATGAACCAAGCTCAACCATAGTGCAACTGCAAAGCACGCCTCCACTGTATGCACTGGCTCAATAAAGGTCTCGTATCATGGGCGGCTGTGGTGCAGAGGCAGAGCGGGCCGTCCCCTAATCGGAAGGTTGTTGGTTCTCCTGGTGCCACATGTCGAAGTATCCTTGAGCAAGATACTGAACCCCGAATTGCTCCCGATGCTGTGCATCGGTGTGTGAATATGTATGAATGTTAGTTTCTGTTTGATGGACTTTGCCATCACTGAGTGAATGTGTGTGAAAGGGTGAATGTGGCATGTAGTGTAAAAGCACTTTGAGTGGTCGGAAGACTAGAAAGGCGCTATACAAGTACAATTTACCATATCTGCAGCTTTCAGATGAGACCCCTGTTTCTGTTTTCCACCAATGATGCCAACAACAGAATGACACCTCTCCACAGACTCTACTTTGTCTTGAAAGGCCACATTCTGTTGAACCGGTGCAGCTCAGGTCAGGAGGTCAGATCTGAGGCTAGGTCTAGAAAACTTGTTTTACATTTTGCCAGTCTGATGAGCTGAGCCAAAGAATCTTGCTCTTTCTGTCTGAATAATTTGTTTCATTTGAGGAAAAGACGCAGTTTTCTCTCTATAATACAAGAGTACATTGGCCAAAAGGTAAAAAGTGCTAAAAGAGCCTCATTCCTTGATGATGTAGTTAACATATTGGGCTGAATGTCATTGCTTAAATATTTGCATAAAGCACTGAAGCATATGACATTTGGATCATTTTAGTGTTCAATTTGTTGATGAATCTGTTGTCTTTCTTCCTTTACACTGAATCAAAGAGAGAAGAGCTGCACTAGAACGTCTCCTTATACCTCAGAGAATGCCATTCATTGTTCCTGAAGTATAAAACATTGTGGAAAATTATTATTCAGGAACTTTTTTCCCACTTTTTTCATGTCATTGAAATGAGACAGGTCAGATGAAATGTACTGATGTCATATAGGTCAACACTTTGATCCCTTCATAATGTCTCTGTTGAACTGGTTTGTGTCTGTACAGGAACAGCATTAACAGACACTGAGTGCTCTGACTGCAGTGCTGGAACATATTCAAATGGAACATTTCCATCCTGTCAGCCACACACACAGTAAGTGAAGCTTCACATCAGACACCTGGATTCTTCCAACAGCAGTGAATTCATTGGATCCTACTAATGTTCCTGTAAAAAATCTCCCTCTGTCATTCCAGATGTGAATCAATGGATCTTCTGATAAAAGCAGGAACTGTTTCAACTGATGCTCAATGTGAACAAAGTTCATACCCAACAGGGATTGTTATCGGTGTTGTTGTAGGAGCAGTGATTTTTTTAGTAATTGTAGCAGCTGCATTGTTCTGTTGCAGGAAGAAGAAAATAAATCCAAACAGAGGTATAATTTGCATTTAGTCAATACAAACACTATAATGTTTTTGATAAATAATAATATTGTGTATCACATGATTAAGTTGTTGATTAAAGTGTTTCTCTGGTTTTGTTTTATTACAGAAAGAAAGGCAGACATATCCACCCTGGTATGTTTTATACTCTTTACTGTTATTACTGAGTCTGTTTTACTGTATGTACAGTAGTAAGGAGGAATGGCTTTTTTTAAATAATTAATGAAATTATGTCACTCATTTATCATTATTTCACAAAGGAAAAGCTGAATGGAGAACAACCAGACAGAAGTCCACAGCAGCAGGTAAGACAGCAGTGTATTCTTCATATAAATGTTCATTGACTGAGCACTGTCTGACTGAGCTAACCTCTGTAATGTGAAAATACATATAATACTGTAGATATATAATATATAACATAAATGTTGCTGTTTAAACTAAATATATTTCTCTCCTCAGGACGAGACAGTAAATGTGTAAACATGCAGACAGCTCTCTGAACACTGCAGAGTAAATGTTGTCTAGAATCCAGTTATAATCCCATTGGATGCTGGGATATTGTCTTTGCAGTGTCCAGAATGTTTTACAAACTTGACACACCCTCTACAGAAATGCTGTCTGTGTCATTATCTCACACAGATGTAACTGTACAGAGACTAACGTCAGTTTATTAAAGTTTATTAAAATGGGATGCGTGCAAATTGCTAAAAATTACCACCAAATTCAAAATGGCTGACTTTCTGTTGAGTTTGCTGATGGGTCCCAGAGGCTTTTTTGTTTGTCTGGTCATGTTGTAGGTGTGTACAGATTTTCATTCATACAAAATGCAAACATTTATTTGTGAACATTTATTTGTAAACAACGATTGTTTTAAAACATTTTTAATAAACAAAGTGCAAATAACAAATAACTTAGCAGAACCACAAAGCACCACCATTCTTCTTTCTTTCAGTTAGAGCAATGGTTTTCAACCGTAGCAGCCTTCCTACATACATGATTTCTAATCTGGATACTTAGAGGTGAATCAGCTGAGCCTCAATATATTGTATGAAGTGTCAGGAAGGTTTCAGACGGTAATGATATTTAATATTCATGTTAAAGTTGTACTACATTTGTCCTGAAGCTACAATAAGTCAATGTGCTGATGTGATATAATACTTTCTGTTGATGGTTCTAGCTATTCTTTTGGTAAAGATCCTCCAGCCAAACACAGAAGTTACGGAATTGTTCATTGACTTATCAGAAAGTTATTATTATTATAATAATTTTGATTTAACATGACATTTTTTTTATTATCAAGACTAAGTTGTCATCTTTTTATTGTATTATATTGTACTGTCAGAAATGGGCTTCCACAGCTTTCTCTTTCTCTTTCTCTTTTAAGATAGTTCATTGAACTCATTGTGAGTCTTGATGAACTGGCCAGATGTTGTTATGTGCACAATGTTGGACTGTATGAAACTTAAAAGGATTTTTAAAATATAATTTTAGCAGTACTAGTAGAGGGCAGCATCGTGCCATGGCAGCGGTTAGTCTGAATCCAAGAAGAAGAAGAAGAAGAAGAAGATCCAGAGTTTTGTTATTAGCATTTTGTCCGAACTTTTGTGTCAAAAAAAGTCAAGAAACCACGTGATACCACGCGGTACCATGCTCGTGGCACTGACTGACTCCGGTAAGTAAGATTATACTGTATACTGTTACAGTTCATGAAGTTACGTTACGGTAGACACACCTGAGCTAACGTTAGCCTAGCTGTTGTAAATGTTGGTGCAGAGTAATACTCTGATAGAAATACAGTTTGTTAAACAGGATAAATCGTCAGATTCGTTCTACCAATATCAGCTAGAATCACAGTCCAGTCTTAATCTCTAAACGCTTCGCTTAAAAGAGGCTGACAATGTTACGCTAGCTTTGATTGCTAAAACTGGACGGTGTAACGGCTCTGCTGTAAGCAATTCTTCGCCCTGAAGAAAACGAGTGAAGTCCATAGATTATTAATTATCAATTACATGACGATGTGACAGTTTAACTGGTCTGTGGGCGTGGCTTATTGCCGAACCATGAAATAAAGATCCTGACTACTTCTATGATATTCAGTTGTTGGTGACTTTTAAAACACTGCGATAGAAACTCTGTTGGAACAATGATGTTGGTGTCTGCTCCTCACTACGGAACTACTATTGGCTGTCATGGTGACATTGACAACTGCTTTCCCCAGTATACATCGAAGACTCCTTTAGGTATCATATATAGTAATCATACAAAAGCTTTAGAGTACGTCTTAGAAACACTAACTATTCTAAATCATTTAAACAAACCAAAATTAAATCGTTTATGAAGGCAACCACACGCTCGCCCTAGTGTAAAACCACATTAACGGAGTAGGCTCGAGTTTGGATTAACAGGTGATATTATCCCGAGTGAGACTGGTTGCGGTGGTGGGTTCAAAGCTCATGTTTCTAATGTGAACAAAAACGTCTCCGTAATTTTGCCACAACGCTACTTCAATGCCACAGTCCTATTTTATAATCTCTACCCAATTTGCTCAAAATGGGATTTTATAGTGTAGACCCGCTACTGATTTAAGATTTAACATTATCCAATTTCTGTTCCTATTGCAAAATGAGATTTAACAATTGTCTAATTTGGATGAGTTAAACTGTCACACCGCTGCTGCCATCTACTATACCGGTGATACAAAATAGCAGAGAATAACAGGAGTGCAATTCCGACATCTCTAAAGAAAGAAAACCGCTGATTGTCCAGATCAACACACTCCATGAGTTTCTGATCGATGCCTTTGTCCCTTTGCGGTCGCGGTGGTATTTTATGGCTCCGTCTAAGTATGGGAGAAGAAGGCTGCTGGCGGCCGTTTCTCTTTATTCTTCACCTGTTCTTCGTAATAATCTGGATGGCAGCTCTAAAGATCGTAATGAACGCTGAGCAAATACATCCCGGTGCCTCTCATACTCTCGCAGACGTGGTGAGTGACGTCATCCTCGGCTAGAGCACGCTCGCGCTGGGTGACACAGCGTCAAGCATGTAGACCAGGGGTTGTCAACTACATTTGTCCAAGGGCCAGAATTTTTCTCTGCAGACACTGTGAGGGCCAGATGCTTGTAAAATAAAATAAAATTAGTATTGTATCCTAAGTAATATGTTATCATTTGATATACTAATTTTCATTCCAAATTTATGTTATCTTTTAGCCTCTTTCAGTGTTAACAGACTCATATTACCTGTAGGCTTCATATTTGTGAGGCTGTCAAGCTGTCCATCACTGTCAGATGAAGTGTCGTAGTTTGAGGAAGGTGATGCCGCTGGACGAGGCGGCTATTACCCAGATAGTGTGAGGCGGTCCCTCAGAAGGACGAACCCGCGAAAGCCCAGGGTCCTGACAACATCAGTCCTGAGAGACTGTGCAGAGGAGCTCACAGATGTCTTCACTGACATCTTCACACCTCACTGAGACAGGCTGTTGTGCCTCAAAGCCACCACCATCATCCCGGTCCCAAAGAAGTCGTCTCCCTCCTGCTACAATGACTACCGCCCGGTCGCGCTCACTCCCATCCTCATAATAATATTAATACATTTTATTTTAAAAAAGAAAATGAATATGATGAATACTCAAAGACACTGTACAATATAATAAAAGAAGAATACAAGAATACAACAACATCAATCAGTAAAACAATATAAAACAGTACATTACATACGTTGAAAACACATGAGACTGAGCTAGATTTTAAAAGCCATTTTAAAAGATGTGTTTTTGTCAGTGATTTGAATGTTGGTGGGTCGGTACAGTCACGGATGGGTTTGGGGAGAGAGTTCCAGAGGGAGGGGGCAGCTACAGAGAACGCTCTGTCGCCCCAGGTTCGGTGCTTGGTCCGGGGGTGGAGGAGTCAGAAGGTGTGCGTCAGATGAGCGGAGGCTGCGGGATGGATTGTGGCGATGGCGCAGGTCAGTGAGGTAGGAAGGAGCCTGGTTATGGAGGGCTTTGTGTGTAAGGAGGAGGATTTTGAACTGAATGCGCTGTGGAACTGGGAGCCAGTGGAGGTGATGTGATCACGGGTGCAGGTATGGGTCAGCAGACGTGCAGCTGAGTTTTGGATGTACTGTAGCTTATTTAGAGTTTTGGATGGTGTGCCATAGAGGATGCTGTTGCAGTAGTCGATTATGGAGATGATGAAGGCGTGGATGAGGGTTTCAGCAGCAGTGAAGGAGAGTGATGGGCGAAGACGGGCAATGTTCTTGAGATGAAAGAAGGCAGTTCTGGTGATTTGGTTTATGTGATGTTCAAAGGAGAGGTTACTGTCAAAGATGATTCCGAGGTTGCGACTGTGGGGGGATGGAGACAGGGTGGAGTTGATAAAGTGCTTCGAGCGGCTAGTCATGCAGTACATCAGGTCTGTCCCCCCCCCCGCCCAGGACCCTTTCCAGTTTGCATATCGGTCTAACCGCTCGACCGATGATGCCATCTCCGCTGCCCTCCACTCAGCCCTCACCCACCTGGAGACTAAAGACTCCTACGTCAGAATGCTGTTCATCGACTTCAGCTCATCCACAAACTGGACCAGCTGGGGCTTAACACCTCCCTGTGCAACTGGCTGTTGGAATTCCTGATGGGGAGGCCACAGGCAGTTTGGGTCGGCAGCAACACCTCCAGCACCATCACACTGAACACAGGGGCACCCCAAGGATGTGTGCTGAGCCCCCTCCTCTTCACTCTGCTGACCCATGACTGCACACCATCATTCAGCTCCAACCTCTTCAAAAAAGCCCAACAGCGCCTGTACTTTCTCCGCAAAATGTGAAGAGCAGGAGCCCCGCCCCCATCATGCACACCTTCTACAGAGGCACCATTGAGAGCATCTTGACAAGCTGCATCCCCGTGTGGTACAGCATCTGCACTGTGTCCTGTCGCAAGACTCTGCAGCGCATAGTGAGAGCAGCTGAGAAGATCATTGGTGTCCCTCCCCCCCTTTTTGACATTTATAACACCCGCATCACCAGCAAAGCAATCAGGATTGCAGGTGACCCCACACACCCATCTCACAGCCTCTTCAGCCTGCTGCCTTCAGGGAGGAGACTGCGCAGTCTCTGGGCCAAAACCAGCAGGCTCAAGGACAGTTTCTTCCACCTGGCTGTCAGGAGACTCAACTCCATCCCTGCTCTACCATCACTCTGTCCTCTAATGTGCATAAGCCTGACAGCTGTCAAGCCCGATGTTAAAAAGATAGTATCGGAGGGGAAATGTAACTTCTCCCATTAAGCAAACGTGAGTATTTCAGTCTTGTAATTTTCTTGGTTTTACTTTATTTTTATTTATTTGTTGGATCACAGGCTACTTTAATTTGATGTAAAGAGTAACATTTCTAATAACTGAGGCCTGACGCTTTTATTTGTCATTAGAACTATTTGCTGATATGCAGGGCTTGCAATTACCTTGCTCTTCTCTGTTATGTTGATGGTTGTTATTGAGACGCCACAATTATGCGCGAAGCCCAAGCAAGGACAATTTTGACATTTGTGAAAACGATAAGAAAAAAAATGAGCATGTAAAACAATAAAGATGTTCAATGAGAGCAACGAGTTTATCGTAATTTTTGATTGAAGGCAGGCTATGGCACAAGCTACTCTCAGAGGGTGTTTCTTTCATTTGATTTAAAAATAAATAAATATAGAAACATACTTTTTCCTCTTCACTAGGCTATTCCTGAATTCAGTAATATTCTGGCAGCTGGATGGAAATCTCTGGCGGGCCGGATGTGGCCTGCGGGCCGCCAGTTGACGTTCACTGATTTAGACCATTGACAGTGTATATAATGAACGGCGCTTCCGGGTCTGTGAATGGAAGCCAACGCGGAAGTGTCTTAAACCTGCGTAGATGATAGCAACTCATCCGGGTACTTGGCCTTGCTTCAAGCCACCACTGCTCCCCCGAGGAAAAGCAACCCTCCAATTTTTTATTAAATACAAATCCATTTACCATTACCACCTCTAAATCGGAGGCCATGGTTCTCAGCAGGAAACCGGTGGATTGTCTACTCCAGGTAGGGAGTGAGTCCTTACCCCAAGTGAAGGAGTTCAAGTACCTCTGGGTTTTGTTCATGAGTGAGGGTAAAATGGAGCAGGAGATTGGCCAGAGAATCGGGGGAAGCAGGGGCAGTATTGCGGTCCCTTTATCGAACAGTTTTCACCGAAAGAGAGTTGAGCCAAAAGGCAAAGCTCTCGACCTACCGGTCGATCTTTGTTCCTACGCTCACCTATGGTCATGAGAGATGGTCATGACCGAAAGAACGAGATCGCGGGTACAAGCAGCCGAAATGGGTTTCCTCAGGAGAGTGGCCGGCGTCTCCTTTAGGGATAGGGTGAGAAGACATACGCGAGGGACTTGGAGTTAGGGGTGGGCAATATGGGCAAAAAATAATATCTCAATATTTTTGGGGATTTTGGCAATAACGATAATCAGTCGATATCCTTTAAAATGTGATTAGAATTGTCTGAGCTGGACTTGTGTCCACCAAACGCATTTACAGCGCTGAGAGAGCTCAAAGACTCATTTTCCGAGCGCCCAGCTCGGAAAATGAACAGATTTCAACTTGAAGCGCTCTGAGCGCTGCGCTAAAAAAAAACCGTCTCCGCTGACATCTTTTTACCGCTGAAGGCACTTAGCGCTCTGAACGCTGAAGCCCATAGGACCCACGTCTCGGCACTAAATCATCTGAAGTACCAGTAGCTTCAGGGACTGGAGGTGCTTGCATTTTCTCTCTACCATCACAACGCGCTGCTAAACTGTTGCAAGGAGGATGCTAGCGAGAGGTCACGTGATCAAGTCATGTGATCACGTAGGCCCACTAGTTGTGTGACTGCATCCTGCTATGCTGTAGAGAGCGCTGCTGCACCGTGTATTAAGTGGATGTGAGGAGTTTCCGGGGGCGTTTCATTGTTTTTGTCGAAGTAATTTAAATACTCGATAATGGAAATTTGCACATCGTCAAAACAACAATGACGATATTATCGCAAACGATATATATCGCCCACCTCTACTTGGAGTAGAGCCACCTGAGATGGTTCGGGCATCTGGTGAGGAGGCCTCCAGGGCGCCTAGCAAGGGAGGTGTTCTTGGCACGTCTAGCTGGGAGGAGGCCACGGGGCAGACCGAGGACCAGGTGGAGAGATTATATCTCAACACTGTTTTTGTGTTTGTATTTTAAGGTTTTTCACCTGTTATTGGCCTCAGCAACTTTCAAAATAAAAGAACGAAAAGAAAAGAAAGCTGAGGTGGCCGCATTTTGGAATGACATCTTAACCAGAATCCAAGATGTCTGAACGGGAGGATCATGTTCTTTGACTTTTCCAGTGCCTTCGACACCATCAAACCTCTCCGGCTGGCAGAGAAACTCTCTGTGATGCAGGTGGATCAGGACCTCGTGGCCTGGATCACTGACTACCTCACTGACAGACCACAATACGTCAGACTGCACAGCTGCTTGTCAGATGTGGTAACCAGCAGCACTGGTACACCCCAAGGAACTGTACTATCACCGTTCCTGTTCACCCTCTACACCTCTGACTTCTGCTTCAACTCTGGAGAGTGCCACCTACAGAAGTTCTCCGATGACTCCTCCATTGTTGGCTGTATCACAGATGATAGGGAGGAGGAGTACAGAAACCTGATTAAGAACTTCATTGGATGGTGCGATAGGAACCAACTACAGCTCAACACAGGAAAAACTAAAGAGCTGGTGGTGGACTTCTGGCGAGGGCAAGAGGACCCCCTCACCAGTTGAGCTTAGGGGGGAGAAGGTAGAGATGGTGGACACCTACAAGTTCCTGGGGGTGACACTCAACAATCAACTGGACTGGACAGACCACACTGAGACCCTCTACAGGAAAGGTCAGAGCAGGCTGTTCTTTCTGAGGAGGCTCAGGTCATTCAACGTGTGGTAGAACATCCATAGTAGCCGAGTGCAGTCTATTGTGGCCAGTGTCCTCTTCTTTGCAGTGGCCTGTGCCAATAAGATTAGAAAGCTGGTGAGGAAGGCCAGCTCGGTGGTGGGGATGGAGCTGGACAGTGTGGAGGCTGTGACGGATAAGATGATGAGAGGGAAGCTGAAAGCCATCATGGACAACCCCTCTCATCCTCTCTACACTGAGCTCAGGCAGCTCAGGAGCACGTTCAGCCAAAGACTGACCCAGCCCCGAGCCTCAAAGCGGTTTGGAGGCTCATTTGTACCGTCTGCCATCAGACTCCACAACGCCACAGCTCCCAGTTCCTCAAACCCCAGCAGATAAAGACTGGTTTAGAACTCCTACCTACAACGCACAAAACTTTTGCACTATAAATATTTAATTTCCACTTTAGTAGTTTTAGTTTAGTTTTTAGTTTAGTTTTAGTTTTTTAGTTTTAGACAAGTTTAATTTTCTGCTCATATTTTGGACTCCATGTCCTACTTGAACAACAAATATTGTATATACTTTAATTTATATTTTTTATATCTTCTAATATTAATAATATTAGCAATATTTTTACTGTGATTTTGCGCTGCTTTGCCCTATTGCTTCTGTGTCAAAATGAATTTCTCCTTAGGGGATAAATAAAGGAATTATCTTATCTTATCCTTGTTGTCAACAGTGAGCAGCAAAGAAGAGGGCGTTCTGGCCAAACTTCTTCAAAAGTGCAGAAATGGGTTGATAAACAATGCTTTATGCCTCTCACATCCATAAATAGGCAAAGGATTTTACATGCACAGGGTGGGATGCATTCAGAGACAGTGTCAAACCTGGCTTTACTGGCAGGGTGAGAGTCAGAGAATATATACATACAAACACTGTATAGAAATAACATCCATCTTAGGAGTTGATAGAGACCAAAAACAGAGCTAGAAGAGAGGGAATATTAGACTGCACAGCAAATAAATTCTAATGTTGTTCCGTAACTTCTAGATGTTTAAATGAGAAACTCCTTGTTATTAAGTTTGCTATAACAACTTTAAGGGTCATTATATCTCAATGTTGTGCTCTCAACTTGTTTCCAGTCATTGTTTAAGTGAAGTACAGAAGTATTATCAGCAAAATGTACCTCAAGTCTAAGAAGTAAAATTACTGGAGCTGCTTAAAATATGGTTATTTATATTAATATATTATTATTATTATTATTATTATTATTATTATTATTAGATTGTTGACTGATGCATTACTGTGCTTCATCAAGATGCAACAAGCTCCTCTGAAAGCCTCTTCTAATCACACCTTGATTCCTTGTGACATATTAAAGTGATTCATGAGCATCCTCAGTTAATGGCAATAGTTCTGGTCACAGGCCAGATTCCATTTAATTTGAAATATTAGTACATAGTATTAAAATAAATTTAGTACAAGGTACAACTTGAAACTTAGAAACAAGCTCAAGCTGTTTTAAAACAGTTCTCAACCTGGTTGAGTTTAAAATCTACCTCTGTTGAAAGGTCCAGTGTGTAGGATTTAGTGGCATCTAGCGGTGAAGTTGGATCGCAACTCCCTCCCTTCCAAGCGCAATGGAGAAACAATAGTGGCTGTGAAACACGTAAAAAATTGAATGCCCCTATCTTGAGCCATTGTTTTGTTTGTACATCCTGTGTACAAAAAGCTCATTTGACTCATAGTTAAGACAACAATTCTTATTCTCAGGCAATAATACACAAGTGCAAACATAGCTATTATATTCAATTTCTCCCAGTAGAGCCTCCTAAATGTTACACACTGGACCTTTTTCAAGCAGGTTTACCATTTACATGATGTTTTCATTACGCCTGCTGATGTTTGCTCACTGAGATCACTGATGAATATGTGTTCTTTCAGTTTACAGATGGTGTCCTCCTTTTGGATTTTAATCTCAGTGAGACGACGTCTTCAGTCCATGAAAACTGTGATCCAGCAGTATAAAATGACGTTTGGAAGAAAACCTTTGACAGCTGCACCATTGCTGGTAAAATCATTTGTTATTACAGTCAGCTTTTATTTGCTTTGCAGCAATTCATACATCAGATTGCTCTTCATCAGAGTCTTCATCAGCTCTACTGAGGGATGAGCAGCTGTCCTGCCTTTAACCTCTGTAGGAGAAGAGAGTAGATGAGCTAAAGGTTCAGATGGAACAGTTTTCACATATAGAAAGAGAGTGCCTTTTCAGTGGTAGGATGTTGGGGGTTTGGGAAATACAAAAATAAAGTAGTTTTGGATTTTTGGGAAAAAACACTCCACATATAGGAAACATTAGTGTACCTACATCATAACACAGACTCGCCACCCAGGGGTGGGGCTGCATCACAGGAATGTGTGAATGTGTATTTTATCCACATTCTGCACAGTGACTTTATTCTTATGGCTCCAGTGACACAAATGTGACCTCATTATCATGTGACTTCCTGCTATAACTCACCTGCAAAGGTTAAACTAAAATCTCTTTCTTACTCTTCACAGATTCTTGTGATGAATATCTTCAGAGGACATGCACTACCATGTCATCCATCAGAGTATCAGAGAGGGAATGAATGCTGTCCTAAGTGTCTTCCTGGTAAGATCCAGTTGAATATTGAAGGATATTTCTCTTTGGTAGTTCCATATGGAGTCTTTAGTTCTACTGCCAGGTGCAGACACTGTGTGCAGATCAGTGGAGTCAGTCTGACTCCCATGGTTGGTGCTGTTTATGTTCACCAGTGAAATGTATCTGTGAAGGACTCTGACTGGAGTTTTATTCCAACAGTAAAACAACAAGCTGTCATTTATATATTGTTTTAAATGTATTTTTTAAACTTGAGCTTCATCTGGTGGTAGAAAGAAGAATGACACTGTAGTAGACAGCAGTGTATGTCACTTTGCCAAGCTCACAACATGCACTTTACTTTCATTTTAATAGAAACATTGAAATTGAATAGTTTTTCTCTCGAACAGGAAGTCGAGTTAAAACAGATTGCACAGAGTTCAGGAGTACTTCCTGTCTGTCCTGCACTGAGGGAACCTTCATGAATCATCCTACAGGACGGACACAATGTTTCTCCTGTACAATCTGTGATGCAGGTAGAGTTCTGTTCATATTTCCTGGTTATTAGTAGAAACTTGTTATTATTTCAAGTCCCACTGTTAATGCTGTGGAAGAACTGACCACACTGTTGAAGATTGGTTGTCAGTGTGAAGATGCAGAGACTCATTTTGATGAGTTGCTGCACATTACTGCTTTTGTATTGATGGAAATAACAGACTACATGCAGAAACAAAGACCTCATGTGTTCTGAATTATTGTGAGTGTCCTAACAGGCTCTTTTCACACAAGTAAGACACAACACATTCAACATGAAGACAAGCTGTATTTTTGTAGTGAAGGTATCAGCTGTTAATATCGGCTGAGACTTTCCTTTATTCAGTGCTTACACAGCAATGATCAGGTTTGTATGTTTTTATTACTATTATTATTATTTTTTGCTGGGCTCACTGTTGCCCTCCATCTCTCTTTTTCTGCCACAGTGAAATCACATTTCCACTGGGTAGTATGTACAGCTGTTCTTATTCTCCAACCTATCAAATCCATATCAGACAGGTCATTTAAGCAGATACTTCCTCATGAATGAAGAAACTGTCATATTTCTTAAAGATGTCATAAAGACTAAAGATGGTTTTTAAGTCAGAAAAAGGTTCTGTGTCTCCATATGTAACCTGTGTATGTGTTGACAGGTTCTGGTTTGAAGATAAAGACGTCATGTACAATAATATCAGATACAGTTTGTGAACCACTGGAAGGATTCTACTGTTTGGACTCTACAGAGGACGGCTGTATGTCAGCACAGAGACACACACTCTGTCGACCAGGACAATACATCAGACAGAACGGTTAATCTCCATCTATACAATTAGTTCCAGTTGATTATGTTATTGCTATTATTGTTATTATCTGTAATTAAGTGAAGGTCGCATGAAGAATGTTCATCTCTGTTCACACATTAGTTCTAGTTCTTTTCGGGCAGCCTCTTAATTCTGTGGGAACTGCAAGTCTAAGGTCTGGTAAGAGGCAACAGGTGCGACATTATATACCGCATTTCGACCATATGCCCAAACACGATTTACTGGACAGCATCCATAGCCATGTACCCAGCATTGTATTGTTTTTTTTATAACAACCTACAGGTCCGCAGAGTGGTGTCCAGTGCCAAATTGAAGTATGAATGGGAACAAGAACTTGATATTGAAATCTCTGAAGAAGGATGGGAAGTAATCCTAGATAACATTCACCATAGTTCTATGAATGCCAGACACACTTATAAGTTTAGTACAATTTAAAGTAGTTCAGACTCCAAGTTCAGGCTTCATGGCATATACCCTAACATATTTCCTTTATGCAATTACTGTAAACATAAGTCTGGACCTCTCACTCACCAGTTCTCGGTTCTATCCAAAGATAAACTCCTTTTAGACTCTGATATTTGATTATTAATCCAAAGCCTTTAATAAAACCATAGCACCAGATCCTATTCTTGCCATCTTCAGAGCAGTGGTAGCTAATCATTCCTTTAACAGATGCGAGAGGCAAGCCATTTCCTGCTGTATACTGCTGGCCAACCGTCTTATTTTGCAACAGTGGAAATCAGAGGCCAGCCCTCCATTCTAGCAGTGGCTCAGGGACTTGAGGAATGTACTTCATATGGAGAGACTTTGCTATAAGCTCACCAACAGCGACAAAGTTTTCCTGAAAATATGGCAGCACTTATTTGATAAATGGACAGCTACCTGTGACAAGGTTCACATTTAGAGTGACATGCACTTGAAAACATAACCCATGAGATTGCCCTAGTCCAGGGGTTTTCAAACTTTTTGTGTGTGTGGACCACTCAGTGTTTCCTCTATGTTGATTTTGGAGTTCGGACAGGCCTGCCCCCACTGCTAAAAAAAATCGTAGAGGAAACACTGCCACTATTTGTAATCAAGAATTTTCACGGACCACCTCATAATACACATAATAAAATGTCTACACACAGTCCTACCTGAATTAATCTGCACCTCCAAATAGGCCTATTAGCACTAAAACTATAATTGGTCATCGCATCAGTATCGAAATGAATATTAAGTGATGCATACTCGTAAAAGGGCGAAAATAGGGCACAGGCGGAAATATGACTTTCCGATACAACAGGCATGTTAAAAAAAAGTTTACTGCACACAACGGCTGCCACATATTTAATTTATTTATTTACTCAAGCGCCCGATGGCATAATCAAGTTCATCATATTATACCATATTTCTAAGTTAACCTAGTTTCCTGGTGTCCTAATGTAATGTCTGTGACATGCTTTGGTCAAAATACCATAAGGATGAAGCACCATAGCAGTTCAATCACCCTGCCAAAACAGCCCTGTTCAGAACGGTCAGTTTTGAGTGCCTGTCTCCGACGCCGCCACGCTTCACGCTACCATGACAACAGTTAAACGTGAACCCTGGGAGAAAGATGGCAACTGGAGGAAACATTGTGGTCCAACCATATATGTTTGAACCAGAGTCAGACCCTGAACAAGAAGGAGTTACCGAAGTAATTTGTAATGCAGTAAAAGCAAATACTGTCTCATAATGTTTTACTTTGTATCCTTAGTACCGACCAGCTACATCATAAAGTAACGTAACGTAGTTCAACGAGCGGAACAGCTGATGAGGCTTGCCGCTACAGTTTGTTAGCTCGGAGGTCACGTCTCTGCTCATTCTAGCAGCGACACACACAAGCATAGTACTTCATGAAAAGCATGCACGTTTGCAAAAATACAGACGCAGATTAAGTCAACTACCCCCAGCCACAGAGCACACAACAGTAACGGTAACTTTTACAGAGTCATCCGAGTTCATCTGCACTGATGTACTGGCAGCGGGGGTAAAACTGCTTGGTGATTCACAGCATAAACGTTGTGTGAATCTCTATAAAAATATCAGCAGGGAAGAATATGGTTAGAAGTTACCATAGGTAACCTTATAAGTTTGAAGTGCATCTTGCACACATTTAACGTTAACAAACAGAATAACTGTTACGTTAGCGTCACTGAGGCTCCAGCAGTTAACAGCAGTTAGCATTTGCTAGCGTTACACAAACAATGAAAAACAAAGTATAAACTCTTAAAAATACTTGTAGTTTCTTCCTCTGCCATCTTGCCACGGACAGTTGGTACAGTTTTTGGGACAGTCCAGCATTGTACTGACCAAGGTTCAGAAAACGGTCCATCACGATCACACATAAGATCACATTTTTTTGTTGACCTGAGCCGGGACATTGCCGTCATATATAAAATGTATCCAGAGGACTCCTGCATCCTCTGAGGCTGGGACTCTATGTGGAGCTCTGTGCTGGGCTGCGCAGCCATGAACAGAACAGTTAGCATACTTAAATGTCCTTAAAGAACTTTTTCATGGTCCTCCTACACGCTTTGTCCGATACACACAAAATCTTTCACCTGGGGACCGCCCCTGGCAAAAAAAGTAATTTGAACATTTTTGAAATTTCAAAAATTAAGCCCGCTATAAAATTAAGACTTCCTGTAGATTTTTCGTCAAAAAAAGAAGAGGACCATTTCTCACATTGTTGTTTTTTATGGGAATTTCCTGGTAAAATGAAGATTAAAAAAAACTATTATTTTATATTTTATTTTGCTTTTCCACGGACCACCTGCAGTACCCTCACGGACCACTGGTGGTCCGCGGACCACAGTTTGGGAATGACTGCCCTAGTCGGTCCAATGTATATTGGAATTTACTCTACCAACGATTTGCTGTCAACATTACATCTTTTTCTAGTCTTTTTTCTCTATAATTATTTATCCACATCCTCATGTTTTGTTTCATTTTGGTCTTTTTTCTTTTTGTTTTTTAACTGAAAACCAATATATATGGGTATTTAGTATTGTTGTTGATTGACTCAGGTCCAAATATCAACATTTTAGTATTTAAATTACACATACTGTGTTATATTGTGCTACATATGTGGTGGAAGCGTTTATCAACAACCAACCCCCTCTCTAGTCTGCTATATAGTCGTAGCCTAAACTCTCCCACAGACATGGGAGAGTTAGCCTCTCTGCACCACTAGCTTAGCTAATGTTACAACACAGCTACTACACAAAAACTTTTACAAACTGCCATGAATGTGCTTCTAGTGACTGTCAAAGCTCCAGTAGCTTTGACTACAGGCAGTTGGACTCCTGCTACACTGAGCAGTTGTCAGTCTGTCACTCTGGCCAGTGTTACCTCTCACGTCAAACACTCTGTAGCAACAAGGCTATCATATGAATCCCATATGATTCTCTCTGCTACATTATTAAGGTTTACTGGGAGAGAGGGAGTTTGCAGAAATTAGGGGTTTAGTTACACTTTAAGATTAAAGGTAAGTTTTAAATGAGATCACCAAAGGTCAGAGAAACTAACCCCCAGTGACGACTGGCTGCTCTGACCAACCCAGTATGGACCCTCTTTGTTTTACTCAGGTGATACCATTGTACCTCAAAGAATGCCAAGATTAATTTTGAAATAGAAGAACTTAATATTTGAAACTTGAAACAAATAAATGTTTTTGGATGTATTTTCAAGTGTCTGCTGAGGAAATGAGACAGGTCAGATGAAATGTACTGATGTCATATACATCAACACTTTGATCCCTTCATAATATCTCTGTTGAACTGGTTTGTGTCTGTACAGGAACAGCATTAACAGACACTGAGTGCTCTGACTGCAGTGCTGGAACATATTCAAATGGAACATTTCCATCCTGTCAGTCACACACACAGTAAGTGAAGCTTCACATCAGACACCTGGATTCTTCCAACAGCAGTGAATTCATTGGATCCTACTAATGTTCCTGTAAAAAATCTCCCTCTGTCATTCCAGATGTGAATCAATGAAACTTCAGCTGATAAAAGCAGGAACTGTTTCAACTGATGCTCAATGTGGAGAACAAAGTTCATACCCAACAGGAACTGTGATCGGTGTTTGTGCAGCATTGCTTTTTACATTAATTGGAACAGCTGTGTTGGTATTTGTATTGTGGAAGAAAGGATGTCTAAACTCAGGTAAGATTTTAATTTAAACAATAAAAACACTATAATGTTTTTAATAGATAATAATATTGTGTCACATGATTCAGTTTTGATTAAGGTTTTTTTCATTGGTTAGGTTTTATCACAGGAAGACAGCAAGTCTCATACCAGTATGTTTGTTGTTGTTTTTTACTGTTTCTAATAAGTCTATGTGAATGTAAGTGAATATTACTGTAGTAGGAAGGATTTTTCTTATATGATATCACTCAATTATCAATATTTCACCAACAAAGGGACGGCTGAGTGGAGAAGAACCATCTGTGATGACTTTAGGCAGTGCAGGTAAGACAGCAGTGTATTCTTCATATAAATGTTGATTGACTGAGCACTGTCTGACTGAGCTAACCTCTGTCTTTACAAATAGAATATATATAAATATAAAGATGTTGCTGTTTAAACTAAATATATTTCTCTCCTCAGGACGACACAGCTCATATGTAGAAATGCAGTCAGTGTTTGAACACTGCAGAGTAAATGTTGTCTAGAGTCTCCAGTTATAATCCCATTGGATGCTGGGACATTGTCTTTGCCGTGTCCAGAATGTCCTGCACTGTTTTACAAACTGGACACACCCTCTACAGAAATGCTGTCTGTGTCATTATCTCACACAGATGTAACTGTACAGAGACTAAAGTCAGCCAGGACGGACAACGTGGAGCAAGATACTGACTTGTGTCCTCAGTGTGAGATGGCTCCAGACTCTTCATTCATTGGATAGCTGAGAGGGACTTCTAGGAAGTTCTCTTCATGTAACTGTACATGTAGACTTTATTGATCCTCTCTGGTGGTCACACAGTTGGATCTGAACACCAAAGTGGAAATGGACCAAAGGACAGATACATTGTGTCCTGAACTGCAACATGATGGGACAAATGGTTTCTTTGACCAAAAGCAAAAAGACTGAATAATAGGATAGGTCGATTGGACAAATATATTGACCTTCAGTGATTGTTGGACAGACGGTTGCTGGTTGAAAAATGTTGCCTGACCCTACTGGATAGTGTGCGTTTGACACACACAAGCCCAGGTTAGTACACAGACAAGTAGCAGTCCATGTTGAATATTCCATGTTCCCAAGACATTAATAAGACAATATTTGACCTAAAATTTTACCTTCGTTCTGTGGAGGTTGGTGTGGTTTACAATCAGCTGCACAGACTTTGAACAGACACAATGTTGTTAAATAATTAAATTTCCCCCTTAAAAGACCAGAGAGTAGGATTCCTTAATTCAGTTTTTTAGCTGTCACTATGTAAATATATTAAAATAAATAAATATAAATGTTTACATAATTTTTTTATATAATGTTTACTTTGAAGTTCCATAAATGATTGTCTTTACGTGGGGTGGGTCACGAGGCCTTCTTGATTTTAAGAGTGTAATAAAACTTTAAAAATATATAATTTTTTTAATTTGGAAGAGCTGAACACCAGCTATAGCCTTTAGACTCTGTTAAACATTCTTGTCCTGCATTAGAAAAGTATGCAGTTGGAACAACCAAATAGCTTATGGAAATAGGAATATATAAAATAAAATTAAATGTCCATAAAATAAGTTAGGGGACCAGGACCTTGACCTCACAGCCCTGGTCGTATTATTGACCTGTGTCTAGGTTGTCCCTGTGCTTTTTGTGAGTGTGCTCTGTACCTTGTAAGATCTTGGGTAAACCTGTTGTCCTCCTTACTGGCTGGATGAATGGGCTCGGCCTGCTGACTCTCTGCTGCTGGTTGGCTCCTCCATAACATCCTGCAGCTTAAAATGCCTGGGCTTTCCACTAATCAGAATTCAGGCTCTTTTTAGTGATCCAGATCATTTGGATTAGCTCAGTAATAAGAGTCGGCTCTTTCTGCTCCCAGACAGCTCTTCATTCATTCTTATTAGTATGTGTGCACATGTATCACTTGAGTTATTGTGACAGTATATTATTACATTAGCATAATTACATTGTTAATGGAATTATTCTAAACCTTATGATTTCCAGAAGACCATAATTTGACATTATCCTTGATATAAAAACTTTTAAATATTGTGAAAACATCAAACATTGTTGCCTGGCACAACATGTCTCACTATGCTTGGGTCTTCATGTTATTGCTAAAATGATAACATAACACATCAGTAATGCATGATATACCTAAAGGTCCAGTGTGTAGGATTTAGTGCCATCTCGCTTCACCCTCCCCTACTAAGTGCGAAGGAGAAACTGAAGTGGCTGTAAGAACCAGTGTTTGGTTTGTCTCCATTCTATAAACACAACAGAATCTGAGATATTTTATTGATCCCGGGTGGAAAGTGGGTTACATTGCATTTGATGAAGTTGCTAAACAAAAAGAAATTAAGTAGAATAAAATGTATCCGGAAATATGTGCATCATACTACAGTTTAGAACAATAATATATATAAAAATAGAAAATAAGTATGTAAAAAAAAAAAAAAGTGCCCTTTACTACAGTATATACTGTATAACTATTACATAACAATATATACGTTATTTTTATTTACACAGCAACAATATACAGCAGCAGTGTAATAATTAATATTGCTGATAACGGCATCTGAATATATAGGGGAGAGTGGGGTAAGTTGAGCCAAAGGGTAAGTTGAGCCACCCCTTTTTGCTAGTAAATGGTAAAAAAACATTGATCATGTGACCAAATATTTAGGAGGAAGGCATCATTTCATGGAGTCTGTGAATGTAAGAACCACATGGGTAAAGTGGTTAGATATTTATCTCCATAAATCCTTGTTCACTCTTGAAAGTGAATTTAGTCTATCATAAGTTTCATGAGAATTGTGTTTAGACCAAAATAGATGATTTTAAATTTGTTTTATACATCAGTTGTGGTATCTATGAGCTCCAACATGAGGTCATAAACCTAGCATAAAAGTGCACCATTTTAGCTGTGGGGACTAAAGTCAAAATGGTAGCTCTGGGGTAAGTTGAGCCATTTGACCAGGGGTAAGTTGAGCCGGTGGCTACAGCCAAAATACACTCAATAAGTGTATCCAAAAACATATTCTGTGTATATTCCAAAAACACAGCTGTTAATGTTCTCTTCCTAAGCACGCTTTTTTGGACAAGCTATATTATCAAAACAGTTATGTTTACACTCGTTCTGTTTGTTTGGAGGGATGCACAACATCCTGAAATATATACAGATATTAGGAAGCGACAAAACTATGATTGCCTTGATGTAGTGATCCTAAATATGAAAAATGGCTCATCTTACCCCCTGTCTCCCCTACTAATGAAAAAAAGAGCAAAAAACAATATCCAGTATAATTGCAGTATAATTAGTACAAGTAATATACAATTGTCAGAGTAAACCAGAGTATTGAAATAGTATAGCACAGTTTTACAGTATTTTCAGGTGAGATCCGAAATGTTACACAATGGATCTTTAATGTTTTAACTATTCAGCAGTGAACTGGCGCTGCTCCTGACTGTGGAACAATGTGGAACAATATGTGGAACAATGCGGAACAATGCATATCCACTGCCAGTACTTCCCCTGTTGTGATTGCAGGGTGCGTTTATTCCCTTCGCTCTGACTGCGGTCATCCCCCGTGTAGCTGTATATATGAGCTGCTAACTCATGTTGAGTCCTAAGTGGCCGACCTCAGGGTGTTGTTGGTCGCTGCAGTGTGGTTTTTATGGTGTCTCAGTTGTGACACAATTGAAGTATTTGACAGTGAAAGCTGCACTAGCATTGATAGTACGTACACAAACCACACTCCCGGAAGTCCCGTTCCACACGGTTCTTCGGGGGTTCCCAGTACTAGTTGCTCGCTAACTGGCTAGCTAGCTAGAGTGCATCAGTCTCGTTGTTACCACTTTATAAACTAATAACTGAACTGCTGTATCCAAAACTTAATTAAACCATGTGATAGCACGCGTTATCATGCTTTTGACGTTGGTTATCTTCGGTAAGTAAGCTAGTTAACGTTACTTAACGGAAAACAAACCTAACGTTAAGTTGGAATTAACGTTAGCATAACTGGCGTTAGCTAAATGCTAATAGTAACACTTTCCTTATTAGGGTGTTTGACCGGCCTCGCGGTACCGAAGTCGGACTGTGGGCCCACTGAGTACGCTG